ACAACACGCATATTAATGTATCCCAACGAACAGTGTTTTTTGCGAATATGTTGTTGCATGCGATTAACATCTATTATTATTATTGAATGAATTAAGTTTTTATAAAGCCTTTTTAATTCACTGAACGTTATTGTGAGTTAGAAATAAAATTTTTAATTGGTCTTCACTTTTTGAGGCAAATATTTATTTGAATTTTAAATATTGCAATAGGATTATAGCTCAAACAAACATTTCCTGGACTGAGTATTACCAAATGATAGGGAATAGTTAGTTCTTAATAGTGTTTTCTCTTACTCAATCTTATTGATAATTTAAGATTATTTAATTGCATCTATTTTAGTGTGAATTCCATATAAGATGTACCGGCCTTAAAAGTCGTTGTTTACCAATAGTTCTACTTTCTTTGTTGTTATTATTTTTTTATATTTTATATCGTTTCGTTGTTTGTATTTGGTTTTATAATCAACATACAACAACTAAAAAGAAAAAATAAAAGGAAAAAACAAAAAGTAAACAAAGTGGTTGCATGTCAAAAAAATATTAAATGCATAAAAGTAGATCATCAGAGATTAAACTGTTACTTACACTCGCTCACACACCACAGATACAGACAATTACAAAGTTACCCAGCAGTTTTATTAGCGGTCAATATATTCCTATTAGACAGTTTCCCAAATGTCGAACTAGTAGAATTTGCTCAGAGACGAAAATAATTATCACTTTAAGTCGAGAGAAAAAAGCGAATTTGTGGTCAAAATGAAGTATTATAAAGTGTACTCCGAACTGCTGGTTAATTATAAACACAGTTACTAAACACACAAACTTACTTATATAGAAAGTAAACTAAACTTAGAACCCGTCTGTTAGTCAGTCATTTATATTTTGTGTGTAAGTCTGGCGTTATGCCCTATACTTGATGAGAACGACAAGTGTAGCAGATGAGATAATAAGTGAGAATGAGGCGTGAGGTGGCCGTAGAAACTCTTGAAAGAAAATAATCGCCAGAAGAATATTAAAAAAAGAACAACAACAAGTTAAACAAGAACAATAAATATATACGAGAATATCTTAAAAAAGCAAATAAAAACACAAGAGTAAAAATTGTATAAAATGTATGTAGGCCGTTCATTGTTCTTGCACTACTTAAAGCTTTATTTTACATTAAAAATATAATAATAATAATATAAATGGCATTTTTTACACTTAAAGTTCATTATTATTTATATTTCAGTTCAATTGACTTTAGTTTGTCTTGCAATAATGGACTCAAGAAAAACTGACTGATAATAATTTCTGAGATAATAGTAGAAGATGTTTTTTTAATGACTATTATTACTGCGCAGCAAACACTTGCTGAGCTGAGTGCTTGTTAATCGTTGTTTGTTGTTCGTTTTAAGAAAAGGCGTCGTTGTTTTATCATTTCATAAGTCTGCTGAGTAAATAGATTGTAATTATTATTATACATACAGGATGATCAAATAAAATATAACTTTTTTAAATTATGAAAATTAATTTAGGAAAATTTACACACATTTGTATGTTTTTCCTAATGATGACTATTACGATGTTTTATATAAAATTTAGTTTTTGAATAGAAATACAATATTTCAGTCTTAAAAGAAGAAACATTTAAAAGAACATTTTCAATTTGGATTTTGTAATAAAAAAATAAGAGCTTTTCTATGGATTTAAAGATTGAAGATTATAATATATTTTAGGCCAATTTTAAATAGATAATAAACACACATGCCGTCTATTTTCTCCTGCACTTCTCACATACATCTACACAAAGTTTTGTTTTTAATGCGATAAAGTGTTATTGTTTAAAAACAAATATGATAAGATAAATTTGTAAATAACAATTTTCTATTTTGAAAAAACGTACATATTCATTGTACGAACGTAATAACGTAATGTTTATAACAAATAACAGTGATTTCTTATAAATATTTCTTCAATGACGTCTAATTTGCCCTAAACACATGTATTGATATCTGTTCGTAGACTAACAATCGATCCTTTTAATCACTATTAACTCCTAATATTTGTCTTTATTTGTTTTTAATTAGTTATTTATATAAATTTATTTTTTCTTTTATTTTATGTAAAATTTGTGTTATTAAAATTTTTTAAACAAATTTTGAATGCGCTGCAACACCAATTAAATATATTTTGCATTTTGAAAACGTTTTTATTCAAACTGATTAACTGCGTCTGTTTGTTTTGCTGTAATTTTTGTTGTAATGTATCAACAAAAATAAAATACACTTTTTGTATATTTAATTATAAATGAATTGCACCACCTCCATCTACCACATTAAATAAATAAATAAATGAACTTAATCAACCGCCATGCCTTGGTCTGCAAACAACCAACTACCAAAAAAATAAAATAAAATATAAATTAACATCTCTACACTTATTATGCCTGCTAAACAAATTAAAAAAAAAAAAAACATTACTCTATGAATGTAAATGTGAATGTAATATTTTGTTAATATGTACATAACATCATCATGAATTGGAACGAATACTCGAAAAATAAACCAACTTAAACCATAAACAAAAACCAAACTACAACGTACCAATAAATGAAATAAATAAATCAACCACCAACCAATTCTTGTGCTCACACTTACCACTACTACCCTCTGACGTTTGACTGCCATGGGCAACAAAAAATAAAAAATATGTGGTTGTATGGACACAATTAACCAACCTCTCAACTTAATTCACCTTATTCCACTAATAATTCCAAACATTTCAGTATTATTTCTCACATACAACTGTGAACTCCTACATCAGTGACACAGTTAAATAAAAACTACACAGAAATTATATAAACAAAAGACAAATAAATACAAATAGAAATAAAATTGGAAAAATCATGCCACAGGCAGAAGGTGGTTATATCTCCCTAGAGGGTAGTGGGGCCAATAACAATGGCCAATCGATTTATCAGTCCACCACAGAGCCCACAGGACCCGTTTCAGTTTTTGAGTCCGTTAAACGGGCCATTGGTCAAGTTGTGGGCACAAATAATGGTCAAGACTCAGATGATTTGCTCAATAATAGTGGTCGTCAACCTGTTATAATTGGTTCAAGGTAAGCTTATTTGTTTTTTCTCTCTCTCTCACTGCCATTCTCTCTTTCTACTTTTCATTCCTATAAACTACATAAGTATTACTACGTAGTTGCATAGTGTTTCCGAACACTTTGTTGTTTCTTTTACGAAACAAGCTTTTTTCATTTTTTTTTGCTTTTTTTAACAAAAAAAGAGTGTTGCAAGTAGCCATTCTGTTCATAGGCAAGTATTTATTTTTTATCATTATTTTATTGTTATCATTTTCAAAAAGCCAAACCTAAAAATTTATTACTACAAAAATACTACATAGTATTTAAAAAAATATGGTTGCTCAATTATTCTTTATTGATTTTAAATGATTTTTATATTTTTTGGTTTAAATAACAGTAAGTAATATTAAAATGTTTAACTTGCACATTTCTTCTACTTTGCTACAGAAAAAATGACTAATTTTGTTTAATAAACATATGTTATGCTTCCCATGGATTATTATTTGAATAATTACTAACTACTTTTTTAACGATTTTCCCTAATTTTTTTTGATTTGAATCATAAGGGCATTATTTACATGTATAGAATTCTTTGTAATGAAATTACAAATAAAAATATTTAACTTATTTGAAACTTAAATAAACATTTGTCGTTTTATACAAAAAATTGTTACTGCTTCAATCATGTATTGATAGCAGTTTCCATTTAGCCGACCTATAAATAATTTCATTAAATAGGATTTTTTCTTTTTCACTTAAAATATGCACATTTAAATACATATAATAATCATTTCAATTATAATATCAAGTGTAATCGGGAATCAACTGGTTAAAGTTAGTTGAACTTTTGCTAAAGACTTAAAAAAACAACAACAGCAGCAAACAATTATTAAAGCCAGAATTTGGTCAGTAAAGATACATATATTAAAAACCTATTTAGCTTAATATTGTTCATTACATGACAAACCAGACAAAACCAGGTGTAAATAGTTATTCTCTTGCCATGTAAACAGATTACTTACTTAAATACATACGTAATTGTCATGCGTCATTCTGGAATATAAAAAATGTAATGAAAAATATTGGTTTTGCATAAGTAAGATCTAATTCATAATTCAAATTTAATATTAGATTCATTCCAATTAAATACATACTTGGCATACAATTACTTTTTCTTTTCATTTCATTTGATAATTCAAATTGCCAGAATATTTAAATAAATTATGAACTTTTTTTGGCTAATGCCACCTTAAGTAAATCGATAAGAAAATGACCCCAAGAAAAAGAAATAAAATAAACGAAATAAAACACAACTTACATTATATATATAAAATATACTGAATTTGTTTTTTATTGCTGGAATAGAATACATTAATATCGACAAATGCAAATAAGTTTATACAGTAATTACGTCAAGTTGTTCTTGAGTAAAATAATAGTTAATTTTTGTTTAGTAACAGACTTATATTTCCTTTTTATATTATAATACAATTACTTACAAAGCAATTACTGTTTTCTAAAATTTACCGAGTAAAAAGATAACGATTCAATACGCAATCTGCAGATTGATAGATTAGAGTGAATGCTATTTATTATCTTTATCATTTATAAGTCGATAACGCAAAAGAATTAGTCAATGGAAATGTTCGAATTTTAGCTCAATTCGAAATTGAGAACTTTGAAATTCCTTTGCCTTAGTAATTCAGTGGTATAATTTTTATTTTAATTATTATTGACCACATGTAGCGTACAAATTAAATCCTACATTTTCACAAATTCTGTTTAAAATTGTAATTTTAATGTAAAAATAGCTTTGACGGACTTTATTTTGCTATTTGCGCTTCTCACACATGAATGTTAATTAAATGTGTTAAAAAAACTTAATTTATCACTTCCACAATACTTAACTCGTGTTTTGTCTATTAAGCTACATTCATATCTATTAAAAAAGAACAAAATAAAAATTTTTGAAATAATTAATACGATTTTAACTTTAGTCTATTAGACAGTTAGGATAGACAACTAATCTTTACTGCATTTGATTGTGTCATAAACAAAAGAAAGATAAAGTGAACGTCTTCATGAAACCGCCATTGTCATAAGAATGAAGACTTTTTCTAAGGATTCCAAGTGGTCACTAACATTAAACAAAACAAAAAAATCAATTCCTATTCATTTAGCTGTTGTCACAACCAAACCATTGGCGGGGAACATGATTTCTCACATTTATTATAACGGAATTTTATATTCAACATTATTTAAACAATCATTTAGTTGATTGTTGCTCGAAATTGAAAGGAAGGAAAATTAAGCCAAAGTGGTGGTGTGAATGTAGTTCAAAAAAATTTACCACAATATATTGATTTTCGATTCAGCTTGAATTATGGTTGTTGTAACCAAAAGAAAAAGAAAATACCCCAATACAAAAAATTATGTCATTCTTTACAAAAGAATAAAGAAAAAAAAAGCAAGAGTTTAACTACTAGTTAAGAAAAAAAATGTTGCAAAAGAACATGATTTTCAATGTTAAATAGTGATGTAATGACGTATTTTAACAATAGACTAAAATTTTAAGTTGCATTTTTTATATTTTCAAAGGATGAAGAAAAGATGTTTTCGTTTTTATGCCAAAAGTCGATGACACTGCAACACATGCAAATACAAACATGTAATAAGTAGTACATACATACATACATTCGGTGTACATATAAACATTAAGTATACTATGTAGATCTGCATATAGTGTATCTTTTTATCATGTTTGAAAATCAACACAATTTTATTTTGTATTTTACTTGAGGATTATTTAATTTCATTTATTATGTATTTGTAACTCTGCAGTCATGTAAATAGAGCAGTAAATGTTTGCACAACCTGGTGAACTACTCGTATGTACTTTAATTCGTAAAAAACAAAAACTACTCGTATTTACAACGGCCGTTACTTACATTCATTCTCCTTGCTCTCTTTTGATTTGGAAAAAGGCTACAAAGGCAACATCAAATAAAGAAAGAGTAAAGGGGAGTAAAGTTCACGAAGCAAACCACCGAATACTAAAAGTGAGGATAGAATGAATACGTCATAATTGTTGGTTTAAAGGTTACCATGGAGCTTGTGCAAAACATTGTTATTTTTTTATATATTTTTTTCTTTTATTATTCTTCATACTCTACTGCTAGATTTGATAGTTATTTTCATATGAATGTACGTTTGAATGTTGTATATTTATTTAGTCATTGAATAGGCTTGAATTTTCTGGTGGCGAATTAGTGGCGCCTTCATGTGTAGCAAGCAGACTTACTTTTACGAACCTACAAATATTACACAAGGAAAAAAAGGACATTTTGTTAGTATTTCAACGGTAAATCTAAATAGACATCTCAATGGTTTGGGGCTAACAAAACAAAAAAGTTGTAAAAAGTTCAATTTGTTATTAGTTTTTATTTGTTGTAGTCATCGCTGTAGGCTGGCGTCGCTGCGGTTGACTCATTCGATAGTTCGTTTATACACTCGTATGTTCTTACGAACGAAATTTACATACACGCGAAAACAAATATGAAGCAAATTATCCTTTGTGTGTCTCGTCCATTTTTCATTTTTTGTCATTCATTCCGTTTTGCTGTTCATTAGTGTAGAGTGTTAGAAGAAACAGGATAATTTGGTTTTGTAAAGTCGTCTTTTTGTTCTATTGGAAATTTGTTCGATTATTTATTTTTAAAAAGAATAAATTTATAAAACCGTTTCGTTCACAAAGCTAAAGTGTTTCGTTGTTATTGTTGTTGCTGTTGCTTAGATGTAAGTAATTTAGTAAATTTTTAAATGTGCATGTGTGTGAAATTAGTATAAAATGTATTTTTTTCAATCATTATTTAACGCCCTTTTAGATTTACAAATTTTATTATCTTCTTTTTTTTGTTTGTTTTTTGTTTTTATATATTTTTGTTATTTAATAAATTAAGGGATTTTTAAGATTTTTAGAGAAAATCAAATCGAAGTTGGTAAAATACTAATTGATTACATAAGAGTTTGAAAAATGGCTAAGAGAAACCATTTTTGTGTGAAAAATTGATTAAAATAAATTGTTGCTTAGTGCACCTTGAAAATGGTTGTATAACAATTTCTAAATAGAAAATGGAAATGGTTTTGCCAATGCCGTAATACTTATTTCTGATCCAGTATTAAAGCTTCGATTGTATTTTCAAAGATAAAAAAATAAAATCTTTCATATTAGTTCTTGTCCAAGAATTAAAAAACTATTTTAAGTGTACGTTATCGTATTTTTACGTACTCTTTGATCAGTTTTTCTCTTTTGTGCTTGCATGCTCATGACATTTATTTCAGAGACCGGGATAAAACGGGTAAGACTCTCCACAACAAGATGCCATCAGCACCTACACACACTGCCGAGGAGGCTCGTCTACTGGGGTAAGATTTTCAAACTAAATAAAAAAAAAAATAAATTACAAAATAATAATAATAATAATAATAATAATAATAAAGTGTATTATCCTTTTATGTAAGAATCTCAACAATCCCTTTATTTACCTTAATGCATTTTGCTTTGATTATTTATTGTTTTTTTATAAAACATTTTTTTTTTCTGTTTTCAATTATTTTTACTAAAAATTTAAAGAAACAATTAAAAAAAGCTTGCAGTTTTTATACATACATACATAGTTTGTTATGAAAGACGTACTAAAATAATAAAAACTGATTTTTTATTTTCAAACGAAATAACAAGTATCTAGCTTAACAAATTATTTTTAATTGATATGAGTTGTTAGAATATATAGTTTTTCTTTTTTTTTTTCGTATAAAATGTTGTTATGCATTTTGTTTATTTTTTTATGAAAAAACATTCTCCTTAGAAGTAGAAATTCATAAAAAAATTTAGTAAACTGTATCAAAAATCATGATTGCAATTAGTTTTAGACGCCAAATATTCCTTTATAGAACTATGTATTCATACCAACTCCCAACAATACTTTTCAGTCACCCAACTACAACATTGTATGACCCAAACAACCCTTAAGTTAAGAAAAAACGAACCAAAGCAAGAACTTCAAGTTTTTCTTTTTTTTACTAGATACAACTCAGATGTATAACTTATTTTGTAAAAATATTTTCATCAAATTTTAATCGAATTTTATTTTGTTAATTTTTTTGTGCTACACTTGTATGTCTATATAGAACCATGCCAGTTGATCCCATGGACGATATTGAGCTGCGCTCTGTGCAATTGCAATTCCCTCATGCTCGTGGCTCTATTATTGATGCTTGCGACCAAAGACGCATACCAACGGATAAAGGTGATGTTTTAGTGGCTATACAAGGTGATACAACGAAACCAGCCATTTTAACTTATCATGATTTGGGATTGAATTGTAAGTAATTTTTAATATTTATGCAAATTTTGTAATATATTCCCCAATTTTATATATTGTTTAAATTTTCTCATTTAAGATGCAACCAGTTTTGCTGGATTTTTCAATTATCCTTTGATGCGAGGTTTATTAGAAAATTTCTGCGTTTATCATGTAACTGCACCGGGCCAAGAGGAAGGCGCACCCACTTTACCAGAAGAGTAAGTTATATATATTTTTTTCTGAAGAAGATATAAATTATAAAAAGATTTTCTATTCTATTCCGAAAATTCCACTTTTAAAATAAATGAAGTAATAGGTTTTTTGTATCTTTTGTAATACTAACGATTTAAATATTTAGTTGCTAAAACTCACAATTTTTAAAGATTTTGACCAAGACATTCTATCTGGGATCAGCGTTTCAACTATCCGTTGATTCTATATAACCTTGCAATGGGTCCAGTATACATTGATGACGTGTCCTATAACCGCTTTTGGCCTCATATCTTAAATATGTTCCAATGGGTGGAATATCTATCAACGTTTCCATAGCCTTGGTTGAAGTAGTACACATGGCACCACTTACACCCAAGCAGCATGTACTCCGAACTCCCTGTAGTAGTTTTGTCCAAAGCAGTCCAGAAGCATAAGCCAGAATTGGCTTATAAGCCAATTTGTCCATTTCATGCCTATAGTTCTCCTACATATCGCCCAGCCCCGATGTGCCTTGTTGATCCCATCCTCTATGTGGTATCCCTATTTTAAATACCAGTCAAGGATTACACCTAAGCACTTAACTTTGTCTGTTACCGATATCTTCTTGCCCAGGAGGCAGTGTTCAGTATATGTAGAAATTTTTTTATTTCTGGTGAAAAGACAGATTTCCGCCTTAGCCGGGTTAACCTTGATTGCCGTATTAAGAGCCTTCTCAGCTCTTCTACACAAGTAATATGGATCCTTTCCCTTTAAAAGTATTACGACATCGTCTGCATTGCAGACAGGTCTAAGACCTTTCTAGGTTATGGTCCTTAGGAGGCTGTTAATCGTTGTAATACAGAGTAAAGGGGACAAAATGGCACCCTGTTGTATACTGCGAAATACCTTTTTCCTGATAGTTATATCGTACATCTCGCAGCTTATCCATCTGTTCCTTAGCATGTAGTTGATCTAGTTACGGAGCACCCGGTCAACATAAAACTGGTCTAGGGATTGGATAGGAGTATCAGTGTGCACGTTATTGAACGCGCCTTCGATGTCAACGCATACCGCCAGTGTATACAGTTTGCTATCGAAAGATTCAACTATGTAGTGGACAACTTCTTTTAAAGCGGTTTCCACCGATCGTCCCTTTACATAAGCATGCTGCTTATATTTAAGATCTTTGTCTGTTATACTGCTTTTAACCATATTATCGACTATCCGTTCCAAGGTTTTAAGTAGGAAGGACGTAAGATTTATCGGTCGATAGGACTTAGTTGTCGCATAGCTAGGTTTCCCTGGCATACCGCCAGTGTATACAGTTTGCTATCGAAAGATTCAACTATGTAGTGGACAACTTCTTTTAAAGCGGTTTCCACCGATCGTCCCTTTACATAAGCATGCTGCTTATATTTAAGATCTTTGTCTGTTATACTGCTTTTAACCATATTATCGACTATCCGTTCCAAGGTTTTAAGTAGGAAGGACGTAAGATTTATCGGTCGATAGGACTTAGTTGTCGCATAGCTAGGTTTCCCTGGTTTGGGTATAAATATTACCCTTGCATCCTGCCATTTAACTGGGGTATAAGTTAAATAATAAATAATTAAATAATATTCCAGTAATAAACCGGAACCATACATATGAATAATATACTAAATAAATAATTTATTGCTCATTTACAGTTACATTTATCCAACAATGGAAGAACTGGCCAGTCAATTACAATTTGTTTTATCCCATTTTGGTCTCAAGTCGGTTATTGGCTTTGGCATTGGAGCTGGAGCAAATATTTTGGCACGCTTTGCATTAGCTCATCCCGATAAAGTAGGAGCCATGTGTCTTATTAATTGTGTTTCTACCCAATCGGGATGGATTGAATGGGGCTACCAAAGTTTTAATGCCCGTTATCTACGTACTAAAGGTATGACTCAAGGTGTAATTGACTACTTGATGTGGCATCATTTCGGACGTAATCCCGAGGAACGTAATCACGATTTAGTACAAATGTACAAACAGCATTTCGAACGTGGTATTAATCCCACCAATTTGGCCATGTTCATCAATTCTTACATTCATCGCAACGACCTTAATATCTCACGTACACCACCCGGTACACCTGGAACTGAACCATCTGCTGCAACTTTAAAAATGCCTATTATGAATATAACTGGTGCTTTATCACCACATGTTGACGACACCGTAACATTCAATGGCCGTTTGGATCCAACCAATTCGACATGGATGAAGGTTAGTTAACTACGACCCCTTTTTAATCTCTCGCATTTAAATGTCAATACTCTTTTTTTAAAGATATCGGACTGCGCCATGGTTTTAGAGGAACAACCAGCTAAGTTGGCCGAAGCCTTTAGGCTTTTCTTACAAGGCGAAGGCTACGGTAAGTGTTAGACAAGATGTTAGATGACATTTTAGTCCTTTTTATTCCTCTAGTAAATCGATTAAATATCGTACACAACCACAATTTATACAAAACAAAATTATATATTTACATATATAAATAAATACTATAATCACAGAAAAAAAAAGAAAATCGCAAAACAAATCGTTCGTACAAGCAATATTTTAAAATTAAATCATTTTTATACAAAATTGTAAACTATTCTTACTCAAAATTTTTAATTAAAAATATACAAAACATTCTTCTCATTAGTCAGTATCGTTTTCATTCTCCTAAAACTCTTTTTTCTTACATTTTTATTTATTTTTTATTTCATTTAAGCACTAGATCTTTAAAACCCCCTAGTACTTTATACTATTATTTGTTTTTCTTTTAATAAGAACACGGCCTTGTGATTTATTTTTTTTTTATCCCTTTACAAGTTTTAAACCTAATTAATTCAGTTCTAATTTAATTTTTATATTATTTAATGTAAATCCAAGAGAGATTACTAATAATATTACATGTTTTAAATTGCAACATATTTCAATTATAAACATGATTTATATGCTTGTTGTCTCTGTCCATTCACGTGGACAACGCCTATGCAGTTAGGTTATAGTGAAAAAATATTACATATTCCCAAATTATAGACAAAATTTTAATTTTACGAGAATGAGACGACAAATATTTAAAAATATGTATTATTATGGAAACATTTAAAAAAAATTCTAGCAAGTTTTGTTTTTTAACATGAAAAATTACTTGCAGATATCTACATATATATTGTATATTTTTTGTATAAAATAAAAGCTAAAAATCTCTCTTGTTGCATTTTATTACATTTTTTAATTTGTTTTTATGTTGTATTGAATACTAACAGTAACAAATCTATCAAAAATACAAAAAAAGTAAAACGAACGATTATTTTTTTTCCAAATCTCCCAATACAAATATTCTATAATATATAGCTTTAGCTTGTAAGCTTTCAATGTAGTTCTTTTATATAAATATACATACATATAAATTAAATATACAAAAAGAAAACAATCAAGCAAATATTTATATAATATTCATACGATTATGATTAAACCAGTGCAATGTTATCAATACTAATATATTAAATTGAATTGGCTTCGCGTAATTTAAAGAAATAGTTAAAAATTGAATGTCCTTGACGGTCTAAGACAAATATTTGATTGACTGGCAATTATACAGTTGTTACTTAAAATAATTATGTTACATTTTTATTTATATTTATATAAAAACATTCATATATTCTCGCATAATACTTGATCTCTTACATTTGTATAAGAGGACATTTTAAGCGTTAGGATTACAAAATTTTTATCTCAAAATTAAAAGAAAAACATCAAGTATGTAAAATAAAATATAAATTTAATTAATAAAGTTGTTTGAAATACAAAATAAAAAAAAAAAAAATATAAATTTCTAAATTAAAATCGCTGTAATCTTTAGCTTTGATGTATTACATACATACATTACTTCTATTACGCTTGTGTTTATATGATTTTTATTAATATAATTTAATTTTTGTTTTTGTTTCTATTACTATTATTTATATCAATTTTTCCTTTTTTGTTTAATTTGACACAAATTCAAACACATTACTACAAATTACATTTAAAAAGTTTAAAGTTTATTGAAAAATAATTAATTTTCTCAGCATGTTGTAAAGCATGATTTGTTTTGTTAACTTTTTTTATACATTTTTAACTATACAGTCCCTAAATCTATTATATGTTGAAAGGACATTTACACTTAACCCTTTACACAATACTATACAACAACACATAATGCCATTAAAACAAAACAACGAAGTACAAGTTTCAAGTAATTTGGACCAAAAATATGTATTTTCTTTTCTTTTTTTCTTCTTAACAAAAAATAAAATAAAAAATACCAAAAATCAAAAAAAAAACTCAATTCAATTTCAATACATCAAACGAAATTTTCAATAAACATACCAATGCAACCACCACAATCATCAATATTATCCCTTAAATTGCAAACAAAATACAATTTGATCATTAAAACGATATTAAATCATACATGTTTATTATTATTATTTGCTCATTTCATTTAATTTCAATTTAATTTGATCTTTTAATTGTTAATTCTTGGTTAAAATTAATGCAAATACATTTTGACTAATTTTTTTTACTATTGTTTCTTTAATACAATTGGTTGTTTCTTTTCAAAATAAAAACATTCTAAAAATCTCAAACTAAATGTTGTGGTATGTATATAATGTATTGTTAATATTTGTTACTTTTTGTGTGCAACCAAATGCAAAATATTTACCTTTTTTTACCTTGGCTCAATAGAGAAATCTCAATAAAGCTTTACATGTGGAAATGCTATTAAACAACAAAACATACATTTAAACAAGAGACAATTAAATTAAATCATTTTAAAATCCAATAATAAATTGCTTGTATAGGTCTAGAAAATATTTAATATTAAATATATACAAAGCCATTAGCATCACCTTACTTACTACTAATTGTTGTGTTCCTAAAATATATAAAAAAAAACTTTTAAACAAATTAAATACTATTTCAAACCAATTTGAACTTTTCAATGGCTTAGTTCAGAAGGTACGTGTCTTGATTTATTTTGAATTTTTTTTTATACGAGAGAAGACAAACTTTATAACATTTGCGGAAATTCATATTTGTAAATTTTAGACTCGAGGTACGGAATCATCATAAAATATAATTAGATTTGTTACCGAAACAAAGACACGCTTTTTATACGTATATTAAACCATATATAGGGTATATATCGTTTCCAAGTTGTATTCTTATTAAATCATATATAATAAAATCTTGACCCTTCCGACTAGAAATCAAATTTTTGAAAAATGTATGAGACCGAATATTCGTAATAACTGCCATAAATATTTTGATATTAAATTTTTATAATCTAGAAGGAAATGATGGATGGACCGTAAAATATGTATAATGTCTTCAAATTTTTAATTTTTTGAACCAAAAGGTCCAAATTAACTGAAAATTCATACAAGATATGTATGTGAAATAATTTGTACCGAAATAAAATTCTTTGTAATTTCCTGAATTTCCCGCACTGTCTTTTAACGATATATAGTACGTACATACATATATAGCATAGAAGTGCACTAATAGTTTCTCCCCCAATCCCCCTTTAGGAGGCTTAAAATTAAAAATATATTTTTTATTTCTTAGTTTTAGTTTTATGTTGCATTTTTTGTTTTATTTTTATTTTATGAAATCCTTTTTTGTTTTTTTTTATTTTTTTTTTTATATTTTGGGACAAATAAAAATTCATAAATATATGTATCATACAGCTGTGGGTTCTTTACAAAAGTTGGGACGCAAATTGTCAACGGTAAGCCAGAGTAATTCAACACATGTGGAACTAAGCATAAAATAAAAAGTCAACGAAGAGCCGAGTTAAAATTAAATATGAAAAGATGAAGAAGGAGACAAGAGGAAAAAATTCCCAACAGTTTTAACAGTTTAAATTAAAATAAGTTAAAGTATAAGATTAAGCATTAAATCAGTTAAAAATAGTTATTTTTTGTTATACTTTTGTTTTATATTCCTTCTTTGGCTTATAAATATTATTGTTATGATTTGTGTATAATTTATGTTTTCTTGTTAATAATTAAGTCTAAAAGTCGTTTTATTTCGTATTTATTATAAATATACATATTTTTATTTAAATTATGTTTTTTTAGAAGTTTAATGTGTTTGTTGAAAATATTTTTGAAAAATTATTGAAAAACAATGTATGTGTCTTGTAAAGCACCGGCTTTAAGATATTTATAGGATTCATTATTGTTTTAATTTTTCTATTTAATAATTGTTAACACAAAATTGCATTTTGTCAGAAGCCTACATTATTTATATACATATTAACAAAAATTTCTAGCTCTGTATACATACTACATTATATAAAAATTAAAAAAAAAATAATAATAATTATAATAAAAATTAAAACAATAAAAAAAGATTTTGTTTAAAATTAAAAAAATCCAAAAAGAAAAACAAAGTATTTTATTTTTTTCTGTTTTATTTTATGTCTAAAGAAAAATCTGGGTTAATTAAAGCAGCACCTTTTATAAGCTTTTTTATTTCTCTAAACATCAACTCATTCAATAAAAAAACAAAATCAGAAACCCATTAATCCCAACAAACACTAACATGAACACGCATATATCCAGACATGGACATAGACAAAAGGCTTATAAATTCATTCAAATATAAAGGCACCATTAATAATTACGTCATCAGATACATCATTCACATTATACACATCATATATTTATTTTTTGTTGTAACATTTATTAACTATAATTGAATAAAATCTCATGACACTTTTAAAAAATACTACTTACTACTCAAAAACTTTACACTTTTATTACAAATATTTAAACCACATAAACTCAAAACAAAATATCTAAATTTAAATTAAAACACACCACAAAACTAAAATAAAACCTACATCATCAAGATCAAGTTTCGTAATAACAAAAGCAAATACTACTACTACTATCCCTTAATAAACTAATGGGCTGCTGCTGTTGCTGCTTCTTCTCCTTCTGCTCCATTCTGCCGATGCTAATTACAACTGCAACAAACGAACATCTTTTTGGCTTCTCATAATACCGATTTTAGCTACGCCGCTTTCAACACCAGCATCATCACCTTGCGGTACTAAGTACTTATCGTATTCGAATATTTTCTTTGCCAACTTTAAAGAGGAACAGGAACGGGTCTTGGCCGAGAAATTGAAACATCAGCAGCAACAACAACCCACACGTATACGCACCAATACTCGTTTGTGTCGCGAAACAGCCATTAACAATAACAATGATTGCTCATCGGAATCCCAGGACTACGTATCAACATTGGATAATGGAAACGTGCAAATCAATGAAACTGCCAATATTTTATATGAACACAATTCCGAAATACTAGACAACATCGACGAGGAGGAGGAATGCTCATTAAAAAAGCACACTATCAATGGAACATTGTACACAACTGCATCCACAAATGGTGGTCCAACCGCACAGTCAAAAAAGATACGCATTACTGAAAACCCACTGCCGGAACCAGTTAGCTGTTAAATCATTTTAGAAATTCAACAGAATTTCATAATAATAATTGCATGAGTATGTTTTCGTAAGTTTAGTTTTTTAGTTCCATTTTCCTTCATACCACTCTAGTGTACCACATCCTTTCCCACTACCATTTCCTCCTTCAAGACACTTAAGTATTGATCAATCTTTAACTTATAATAGTGGTTTTATATAGATAGATTGGATAGTGTGGCTTTCCTAAACTAATTAGTTGTAACACACGAGTTTTATTATTATTAATTAATCTAGTTATCAACAAATTGTAAAAGAGAATCAATTTACTTATGCTTTTTGTAGTGAAGAAATCCAAATAATGAATAATAATAATATCAAAGACTCTACAGCGGAATGTCGTTTATATGTATTCCTGGAATATAAATATAATGCTACTCAACAAAACAACAAAAAGGATCTGCCTACATTTGACTACTTGTACTATAAAATCCCATTCACAAAATTCTCTAAATTCTGAAGTCCAAAATAATTAATTTGAATTTCGTTTGACGTCAAATATTGTTTCAAATGTCAATTTTCACAAAACTTGACGGTCTATATCTATATAAAAATTTAGTATCGACATTCTGCTGTAAGTTGATTATATTAGTTTTAAGTTATACAATATTGTATATCTAAAAATACGTCCATATTGTTCAAATGTTTGACGAAATAAGCCCTGATGTCTGCAAATATTGATGAAACGAACAATATAAATAACAACTGTGTTCTATTAAAAAATTATTTATCAAAAAGTAAAATAAATAGATTTTTAGTCGTGCAGCTTATTTCGACAAATATTCTAGAAAATAAAACTTAACTAAATGGAATTTTATTTCAAATATTTTTTGTTCAATTTGTTTGTGATTGTAGCAGAAATTAATACATATGTATGAATTTATGTATAAGCGATACTTTATAACCCCCAAAACAGTTGTTTGTAGTTAGTTAAGTAGAATCTAAAAGAAAACACTTTCAAATTGTTAATGAATATATTAAAAATTAGATAATTATAAATGTCCATTTTAATTTGAAACCCAAATTTAGAATAACGATAATAAAATTATGTATTTTCATAGATGTTAGATAATGCCGCTATCGAAACTTGGATAAAGTTATACATAGTTAAAAGCATAACAAGCAAATAGGAAAAATCACTAATAATTTATTGTAGAACGTTTCAAAATTTTTGTAAATTTAAACATTTCAATGCGTTCTTTTATAAACTTTCTCATTTGAATTGAAGTCGCAATATTTTTTTTGAAAAATTGCATTTCCACTCATAAATTATTTTGAAATTTTATTACGAATAGTTGAATTTTTAGTTCACTTTGTGCCTGAAAACACATATGGAAACACACTTACGCATACACACAAATTTAAAACACATTAATTTTATTAATTATAAAAATAAAAAGAAAAACAAGTAAAAAACTGCGAGCTTTCAATACGATAAGAAGAAAAACTGCTTAAATTTAAAAATAACCAAAAAGGCACCAAATTATAAAATTATTTCTTATTAGTTACTTCTTTTTTTATTGAAGCAATAATAATTTGACAGTGCCTCTTTAAATGATAAATACATAAATACAAACAATAAAATAAGTAAATAAATATTATAAAAAATAAATAAAACTTTAAAAGGAACCATTGTATAGCATATCAAAAAAAAATGTTACGGTATTTATTACAACAAAACCAAACAACTTAAGGAATTTAAAACAATTGATTTATTTTTTTGTAAGTCATTTTTATTTATTTTTTAAACTCTTAAAAAGCAAAAAATATATAAAAAAATAGATTCAATTGATGAAAAAAAAAAAAAACAAACTAGAACCTAAAATCAAAATTGTTTTTAAACAAACAAACAAAAAATGTTACTTTACACCAGCTTAATGTTAAAAAATACAAAAAAAAAAACAAAAGTTATTACAAGTAATTATAACAAAAACAAAAAAACTAAAGCAAATAAAAACAAATTGAAACCTTAAACTTTTCAAAATCCCTTCTTACAATTAAATAAACATTTTTAAAACTGCGATACTCATTAAAAAAAAAAACAAACTAATATGTATTTGCTTTTGTAAAATCCACAAAATAAAAAAATATTGAAATATAATAAAAATGAGAAAAAATATAAAATAATACACTAGAATGCAAAATGTGTGCGCATTCAAATCGCCCATGAACAAAGCAAAAATTTAACATTTATATAGTTTCTGATCAATAAAAACAATTTGAAAAAGGCTTAAAGAATCATTTTTAGATGGAAAGGAGAATATGTATATATGTATATTGGTAAGTAAGCAATACAAAATTCTTAAATTCTTGGATTTTAAAGTTGAGTTGGAAGTGTTCCAAATACTTAAATAGCTATGTTATGACTCCTTGGTTCGAAAATATCCCACCAAATTACCTATACCTTTGTATAGGATGTTTGAGGCTCCAAACACAGTTTAATCAAAAATATTATATGGTCTCCACCAGTAAAAAGTTTATGAATTTAAATGGTCTACAACTGTATAAATTTTAAACTTAATGGAGTAAACACTGAACATACCTGGACAATGAATGAAAATTCAATCGTATCACTTGTATATCACATTCATTCGACACAGACATTGAAAAAATATCCGACACACTCACTCTAGGTATACGGGAAAGCAAGGTCCACATAGCGCTACATCTATCCCGTATCATATACACTTAACACCAATTTATTTCTAACGCTTTGACCCACAGCCACTCCTTTGCCGGGTATCTGGTCTTTTTCAACCACTGGGTGAGCTTCTGTGAGGACTCACCACCGCCCCATTATGCTTTACCACGCAGACAGACTATCTCTAGGTACTCTACATTCAACCTTTATCATATACAATTAACATAAACTAATTTCCAACGCTCAGTCCCACAGTCATTCCTATGTGGGCTATCTGTTGTCATTCGGCAACAGCACCGAACTTATCCCGAAATATAGATTTCACCGTGCATCAGTTTTTTAACGGCCACTCTTCCCTCGAATTTGGGTTTAAACCACAGCCACTACGTGGATCCCGAAGGAACCTCAACCAACTGACCAGCCAGGACAAGTCCTTCGGGCAACTGGCCACCTGTAGTAACAGATTATGTGGTTCTCTGGTGAATGTGAGAAGTGACACCACCAGTTTATAGTCCTGGCAGGCTAGAGGTACTGGTAGCACCTATGGTCCTTTTAAACTTTGGGAAATAGTGATTGATATAGTATCAAATTCGAATGGCTTGATTTTAAATTTAATTTTTTTAGAATTGCAGAATTTATTTTATTATGTAATCTATATCTATCAAAACGTGTTGGTTCTTAAAAAGCAAAATATTAATTGTTTAAAATTAATAATTTATAATATTAAAGTGCTAAGTGCAAGTGCAAGTGCAATCAATGTAATTTTTATAATATATTTTTTATTTGCCTATTGTCTCTATTGTAATTTAGATGTAAAAATATACAAATGTATGTATTTATATGAGTTATTACCATATATCGAAGCAATATGAATAGACCACTCAATTTGTTTTAAATTGTACAAAATGGTACTCAGTAACTGAAGCGTCTGTCTACACATTTTCAAATAAATTATTTAGAAAGAAAGCAATTGGGCTTATCTTAAAATGAAGCACTTTTTTAATTACATACATATGTACATGTGTATGAAAATGAGAAGAAATATAAAACAAGATAGTATGTACTTGAAATGTACACTTCTTTATGAATTCTACTATAAATATGAAAGCTTTGGAACTTGTAATATCAGTACACTAATTGCAGTCAACTTGAATTTATTTCCAACATTTAATTAACTCTATTAAGAATTAATCAAAATGAAATTCCTCACTGTCATCGCTGTTGCCCTTTGCTTGGCTGTTTGCTTTGTATCGCAATCCTCGGCATTGCCAGCAGGATCTCCTGAAGATGGTCAATTTATTGATGGTTTGGAGGCTATTGCAGCAATTGAACCGGAGTTACATGGTCGTTACAAGAGAGCTACATGTGATTTGTTGAGCGCCACTGGATTTAGTGGTACAGCTTGTGCAGCTCACTGTTTGTTGATTGGACACCGTGGTGGTTATTGCAACACTAAATCTGTATGCGTTTGTCGCGATTAAATCATTATCTAATTTATGTATCTACAATAATTAGATCTAATTTAATAAAATGGGTATATAAAATTTAAGTTGTATGTGTGTAGTAGTTTAATTTTTAAAAAATTGTTGGGCAATAGGATCATTTTAAACCATTTCCAACAAAAAAGTGGAATTCTGAACATGACCCTCTCTGATTTCGTTGAAATTCGGTACATTCTTTGTATAAATAAGAAAATTTAAACGGTAATATAAATATTACACATCGATCAAAATCTCAAAACTAGAAGCATTTTACCAATTAAGTTTGTGTTTCTTCTTAAGGTCTTTAATACGAATTCGACAATTAAGAAATATGTAATCTTAATCGACTCAATATATAATTCTATCCTGACCAATAGTTTCTGATATGAATTAATGAATTAGAGACAAGTTTCAATAAAACATTTATTTAAGCCAATTAAATTCCATATTTGTTTGTCATTCTAACCCCCATTTTCCCAGTGTATGATTATGTTTTATCCTAACGATAAATTGACAGTTTACATACAAAAAAATTTTAACCGGCAGTATATCTACCTGTTAAACGATACCTAGAGGTTGAGCTATTGGCCCTAAATTAATACAAATATTGTTTAGTAATAATTTATTTTGCAAATATTTATTTGACTATTTTTAAATTTTTTAAAACATTGACAATTTAATTACGACACACACAAACAGCTTTTGAGTTGCAATAACCTCCGCGATTTCCTCTCAATAAGCAGTGAGCAGCACAGGCTGAGTGATTTGCGCCGGTTCCACTTAACAAATCACATGTGGCTCTCTTGTAGCGACCATGTAATTCGGGTTCAATTGCTTTCAAAGCCTGCAGACCGTCAACAAATTGAGCATCATTGGCAGCATCAGCTGGTAATGCCAAGGATTTGGAGGCAAAGCAAACAGCCAAGCAGAATACAACAGCGAATACCATGAAGAATTTCATTTTGTGATTTTTTCAGTTGATTTATAAAATGTTGTAATTACTGTTCAGTTTGTTCTGATAGTTAGCCTTGTCACGAAGATACTGATGATTTTATTTAAATTTCTTTCCGTATTTATGTCTGTGACATCTTTCCAACTTGGCTATATTTAAGTGGGGTTTTTAATTTTTCAAATGAAAACGTTGGGGACTTACTTTTAAGTCTTTGTTTTATTATAATTATAGATTCATATATGTATGTATGAACAATGTACTTAATGTGTAAGTAATAAAATAAGATGATAAGAGACTGTCAAGTCGTCGGGACTTTTTATTTAGAAAACTTGGCAATAGGTATTACATATAGTTTTTAAATAATAAGTTTTTATGATGTTTTCGCTATTAATATATTAATTGGTGTGCTGATTCCAAATATGGAAATAACGTTTGCGTTCTTCAGAAGGTACTTAATGAATTTTCTATAATATTAAACCTAAAAACATAAAATTTAGCATGTAGAGCCCGGAGTAAGTGAGAACATACATATACATTAAAGGGGGAGTTTTTGTACTTTTTTGTTCTTCAAAAGGAACTTTTTGATTTTTCTATAATATTAAAATCTAGAAACATGAAATTACGCAAGTAGAGCCCGGAACCCGGAGAATCTATAAACGACTGGTACATTTTGGTTTTTATGCACTCACGCAGCACCCTGATTAAATGAAAGTCTATAAAATGGGACTCTCTGGTACTTTTGTACGTTTTGCAACTGGTATTTTTTAAATTTTTAATAAAATTCGTATTGAAAATTTTTTTAACACATCGTAGTGAAGGGTATAAAAGATTTGGCACAAACGAATATAGAACTCTTACTTGTTGATCTTCAACTGGTACTTTTTGAATCTTTTATAATATTGAACCTAAAAAACGCAGAATTGAACAAGCATTCCTCGGATTTAATATATCAACATGTATAAAAGGAAAGTTTCTGGTACTTTTTCGCCATTCAAGTGGTACTTTTTTTATCTTTTTTTCATATTAACTATAGACGCAGCGACCTAATTGAATGAATGAAAATCAAGAAAAGGGGTATTTTTTTGTAATTGCTTTTGTTTAAACACGCTATGGTGAGGGGTATATAAGGTTTGCCGAATATACATAGTTATTTTACTTTTTTTAATGTTATCCAAAACGTTAGAAAATATGTATTTAGTACATTGTATTTCTAAATCAAAAATTATTTTTCATTCAATATGTACTAAATATTATCTCGGACACAAACCAAAATCATTTCGAAAAATCATTCGATCAACAACATTCTTAGTTCGAAATTCGAACAAATATAAATCGAACAATAACTTAGCAAATTCCAAAACCTAAATGGCTTCTCTACTTAATAGATATTCATACATACATATTTAATTCAATACTCTCAATTCTCTCTGTTACAAATTTTTGTTTCAGTTTCAATTCCGTTTCGTTTTGTTTACAGTGCAGATTTTTTTCGATCCACTCAATCACTCACTCATCCACTTAACAACAATCATTCGTTAACGAAGTTTTTAAGCGAGAGGACGTGTTTACGATTTCTGCGCCGCATTTTGTTCTAGTTTTTTTTTCCTCAAATTTTACTTTAAATGAAAATTGTTTAAAATTTCGATTAACAGATACTTTTATTGTTTTATTTAAAGAAAACAATAAATGAAAGAGTTT